CGGCGAAGAGGACCTGCTATTCTGCCGCTGTTTACTGTACTCATCACGTGGGAATCGACGACGTGAGGAACCGACAATGAATATTATTAGGGGACTTTGCGACCTTGTTTGGAACTTATTGGCGTAGCACTAGATGCTCACCAAGCAGTTCTGGATGTCGGTTATATCAACACATCATATGATGCCTTACAAGCAAATTGTGGTCGGATCCCGACCCCCATCTCCGGTGTGGATCTATGAGAGCAGATTTGATGCAATCCACCGTTAGATCCACATCGGAGAGGTGGACCGGTCATCCTGCCGCTGTTCAGTGTAGTCATCATGCGGGAGTCGACATCGATAAGCATTTTTTTTATCAAAAACATGCATGCATCTCATCACATGAAGATGAGAAATCGAAACATTTGCAATGTCACATGTCACTATTGCGGAAGTCGGGAGAAAAGAAGAAATTAGCGTATTTTACGCTTTATGCCTTTTGCCCCATAGGCGCGTGAGCGCTTATAACAGCCATTTCACCAAACGGACATATTATATTTTTTGAACGAAATAAAAACTGATTTTTTTTGTCAAAATCCGGTCGGAATTTTTTGCGCTTGGGGGTCCGGCGTTCCCAAAACGCCGGAGCCCCCTGGTCTATGGTTGAGACCAGATACAAAAAAAAAAAAAAAAAAAAAAAAAAAAAAAAAAGTATCCGGTCTCAACCATAGACCAGGGGGGTCTAGCGTTTTGGGAACGCCGGACCCCCAGGATCAAAAAATTCCGACCGGATTTCGGCAAAAAAAATCAGTTTTGATTTCGTTCAAAAAATATAATATCTCCGTTTTGACGAAATGGCTGTTTTATAGAAAAACTAGCTCATAACGGTGGAACCGTTAGTTCTTATTTATACAAACAAAGAACCATGGCAATACCGTAGGAAGTCGGTGGATTGTATGTAGAAAAGAAAGCAATTCAATGAACGCGAGCGCCCCGTAACGACTGACTCGAAAGAGGAGAGCATGATTGATTTCATGCTAATACGCCAGTACTCACCCAATTTAATTTCAATTGAGGATCTAGTTAGTTCCTAAGGCGAGCGGCTCGACTGACTCCTAGTCGTATTGGATCTAGCATATGAAGATGGAAAGCGTAGACGTATGACGCCGCCTTCGGCCTACGAGGTGAGATAAAGGTATAGTCTAACCTCTAGTGAAAACTAGAGATGATTGGAAAGGCCAATCAAACTCGGAGATAGCTGGTTTTCTGCGAAATGTCTATGGAAAAGGGTGATACGACCTGTGGAATTTCGTCCAGCAGACGCCTTTTTGAAACTAAAAGTTAATTGTTTGAGTGGTTTTCCTTTCCAGCAACTGTTTTTCATACAGCTTYGCTCYCGAATCATTTTTGTGTTTTTTTGCTTTGCTTTTCCAAACGGGTTTCATAAGACAAAGTTACCTTCAATTGAAGGCCAAATAACTCATGGAGTTTCATATAATGCAACTTTTTGAGTAATTGTTTTGTTTCTGTCTGTATGACAATCAATTGTTTATGGATTTTCATTTCATACGTGTCTCCTGTCGGCGTCTGACCATCTCTGCTTCGCACAGTGGACCCGCCACACGTCCGTTATCTCTTCAGGAGTGGCAGGTTCTGGATCTCCTTCCTCGCCGACGAGCTCTACATCAATTTCGTTTTCCAAGGAGTACAGGTACCAGAATTTCCAACCCATATCCCTATCGACCACAAGGTCATCCGCGGTGGCGCCCATCCTCAATATCACGGAAACTTGCCCATCCGGCGCAACATCCGATTCGATGTTAAGATATCAGCGTGAACAATTTACTCGTTGATACTCCCATATATTCTTGTCCAAAATGAAGAGACTGAGATCGAGAATCCGGTCTGGCGAGACGCCGCCCTGAGACGAGATGGAAGCGCTTGCGCAGACCGAAGTCTGGCAAGAGTTTATCCTGCAGTACGTGAGGAAGCACGAGGTAGCATGTTAGAGATGACGCGCACGGAGTCTGGAAGGAACGGCAACTGCGATTATACTCTCGCTTTTGCCAGATCGTAATGAAGCGAAGTCACACACATCTAGTAAAAGGAGCAACGGAAAAGCCTACCCGGAGTTTTATAACTGAGAATGTATTCGCATTTCGTGACAGGGTGGCCATATTTCGAACACGTCATTCGTGTTGGAACCACCTCTTAATCTCGACTCATTCGTATCCGGCGCAAGTCCTGCAATCACCTCTTCATCTTGACTCATTTCGAACATGTCATTCATGTGCAATTGTCAGACCACTCTACAATTGACAACAATGACGAGTTAGCTCAGACCAGCGTTGTCGAGCGGGGATCCCCGGGGGCAAAGCCGGTGTGAGGCTGCGGACCCCGGACCCCCGCCGCGGGGGCCATCCAATCCCGCCACCGCCGGACGACCCCCGCTGCCGCCCAGCCCCAGGTACCCCGCCGCCTAACCCCGCAGGCCCGCCACCGGCCCCGCAACCCCGCCCCCGCATCGCCCCCGCACCGCACTCCCGCCACCGCGACCTCGCCCGGG